CCCGGGGGGATGGTCACGCCACAATCCCTTCTCCTCCATTCTCCTCTCGGGATCTTGGGCACGCACGCACACGTGCCTGACGTGAGTTCTAAGCCACCGGGTCCGGGACGCGAACCACAGTCAACCACGTGGGAATCCAGCGACATAGCCATTACGCTAACTGCTGGTTCCCAAGAGAATTATTTTACATAGGTTGTGTGCACTTGCCAGAGAGACAGAGAGAGAGAGGAATAGAAAGCGAAATATTGGGACCAGCAGTTGGCGTAATGACTATGTTGCTGGACTCCCATGTAGTTGACCATGGTTCAAGTCCTGGACTCGGTGGCTTAAATTCACACCAGGCTCCTGTGCGTGCATGCCCAAGATCCTAAGAGGAGAACGGAGGAGAAGGGATTGTGGCGTGGCTATCTCCCCTGGGGGGTGATTTCTCGCTTTCTGTCTCTCTGTTCCTCTCTGTCTTTCTGGTGAGCACACGCTCCCTATAGCAAAAACCTCTCCAAAAAAGGAAGAAAGAAAAGAAAGCGAAAAATCACCCTCCGGTGGAGATGGCCACACCACAATCCATTTTCCTTTCAGGATTTTGGGCATGCACACACATGCACCCAGCAGGGGTTTTAAGCCTCTGGGTCCAGGACTCAAATTGCAGGAGGCTATGTGGTAGTTCAGCAACGTAACCATTACATCATCTGCTGATCCCCCTATGTAACGTTTTAAAAACTTTGTTAAAGAGTTTAATTTTATACTGTCACAAGGGAAGCCATTTTGAGCTCTTGCATGAAAGAATGACATGCTCTGATTTCTTTTTAAAGAATCTCTCTCAGTGCTGTGTGGCAGCAGTTCTGCTGGGGGTAATGTCCTCAGGTACAATACCGATCTTCTTCAGCATCAGAAGATGCAAACTTTGGATCAGAATGTTGAATATAATCGCTGTGGGAAAGGCTTCCATGCAAAAACAGGCTTTGTCAGACATAAAAGAATTCACACAGGAGATAAAAACTTTGAATGTCATGAATGTGGGAAAGCTTATTGCAGGAAATCAAACCTCATTGAACATCTCAGAATACACACGGGGGAGAAACCCTACGAATGTGGCGAATGTGCAAAAACTTTCAGCGCAAGATCATACCTCATTGCTCACCAGAAAACTCATACAGGGGAGAAACCCTTTGAATGTAATGAATGTGGGAAATCTTTCGGCAGGAAGTCACAACTCATTCTACACCGGAGAACACACACAGGAGAGAGACCCTATGAATGTACTGAATGTAGGAAAACCTTTTCTGAGAAGGCAACCCTCACGATTCATCAGAGAACTCACACAGGGGAGAAACCCTATGAATGTAGTGAATGTGGGAAAACATTTCGTGTAAAGATATCCCTTACTCAGCACTTGAGAACTCATACAGGGGAGAAACCCTATGACTGTGGGGAATGTGGGAAAAACTTTCGTGCAAAGAAATCTCTAAATCAGCATCTAAGAATTCACACTGGTGAGAAGCCCTATGAATGTGGTGACTGTGGGAAATTCTTCCGAATGAAGATGACGCTCAATAATCATCAGAGAACCCACACAGGTGAAAAACCCTATCAGTGCAATCAATGTGGGAAATCTTTCAGGGTGCACTCATCTCTAGGGATCCATCAGAGAATTCACACAGGAGAGAAACCTTATGAATGTAATGAATGCGGTAATGCCTTCTATGTGAAAGCACGCCTCGTTGAACATAAGAGAATGCATTCAGGAGAGAAACCCTATGAATGTAGTGAGTGCGGGAAAATCTTCAGTATGAAGAAATCCCTGTGTCAACACCGACGAACTCACACAGGAGAGAAACCTTATGAATGTAATGAATGTGGAAATGCCTTCTATGTGAAAGTACGCCTCATTGAACATCAGCGAATTCACACGGGAGAGAGACCCTTTGAATGTCACGAATGTGGGAAAGCTTTCTGCAGGAAAGCACACCTCACAGAACATCAGCGAATTCACATAGGCAGGTCTTTAACTTGTATGATGGAGAAAGCCTGTCCCTGAAAATTCCCCTCACCATTGGGTCAAACTCCTTGGGGTATCTGACCAACAGGGCACACAGAGTGCACATGTAACCATTGGCACCTACATTGGTGCAAAAGTAAGTCCTGATCCCCCAAGGGGATAGCCTATTATTGTTTTCATTTGGATTTCTGAAATTAGTCATGAAGTTTAATGTCTTATCTGCTGATTGGCCATGGTAGGTTTTTTCTTCTTTGCCCTGAGTGTTCATCATTTGCTTATTGTTTCCTAATGGGTTGTTCATTTTTAAAAAAAAAAAAAAGATTTATTTATTTAGTTAGTTTATTCATTCATTTATTTTAATTTGACCACAGAAAGAGAGAGAGAGAGAGAGAGAGTGAGAAAGCAAGTCACCAGGTCTGGGACTCAAACCATGGTCGGCCATGTGGGAGTGTCCAGCACCTTAACCACCATGCCACCTGCTGGTCCCAGATTGTTCATTTTTAACTTCTTGGTTTAAATGTTGAAAATATAAAATCCTTTTTTTCAGTTATATGTATTACAAATATCTTCTTCACTGTGGCTATTTTTTTTTAAACTTTATTATATCTTCTGCTATGGTTTTACATTGTAGTATTATCAGTCTCAAGGTGGTAATATTTTATATTTTTCTCAAAAGTTAAGGCTTTTTTTTCAACACTTAGAATTTTTTTCATTTTAATTTACTATAGGACATGTGTGCTCGCCAGAGACAGAAGCGGTGAAAGTGAGAAAGCACCCTCAGGGGAGATGGTTATGCTGCAATCCCTTTTTTTCCATTCTCCTCTTGAGTTTTTGGACATGCATACGGACGTGCCCAACTCTTTTTGACTCTAAAAATCAAATTTCTGTCTTGCCAATTGCTCCCTGTTGGGCCTTGCCAATAAAAGATATTTTTTAAAAGAATTATTTATTTAATTTTATTTGATATTATTTATTTTTCAATTTGACCAGAGAGAGAGAGAAAGAGAGAGAAAGAAAGGGAAAATGAGAAAACAAGCTGCCAGGTCCGGCACTCAAATTGAGGTAGGCCATGTGAGAATTCAGCGTCTTTAACCACCATGCCACCTGCTATTATATTGATATATTAACTTTGGGGTTAGAGAAGGAAAAAGGGACTTCCTTCTTTTTTCCTTCCTGTTAGCTTCCTATTTATCTGAATGTCTGCCTAGCATCACTTCTTCGCTTGGGCAGCAGCCAGTTCCTTGTCATAGCAGCAATTCAGTCTAGTCTGCAGTTTTCCAGCACTCACATAACTGGCCTTATGGTACCCAACCTCCTTATAATACACAATCAACAGCTGGATGGTGCCTTCTCCTTAGAGGTAAAAGTCCTGGTCACATGGGACTTCTCTTCCACCCTTCTAATTAAAAAAAAATAACTTATTAATGTATTTTTTGCTCTATAACATGTGCACTCACCAGAGAGAGTGACAGAGAGAGAGGGAAAGTAAGAAAGCACCCCTCAGGGGGATGGTCACGCCACAATCCCTTCTTCTCTAAGAATTTTTGGTACAGACACATGTGTCTGGTGTATTTTTCAAGCCTTCTAGGACTTGACCCATGCAGTAGCCATGTGGTATCCAACTGCCTTAACTACCATGCTACCTGCTGACCTCACTCTTCTAATGTTTTAAAATGTTTATTTCTTCTGTGAAAGAGAGAGATAAACTGTGTCTTCCTGCTGCTATCCCTCCACAGCCTCAGCTAGCCAGGATCATAGGCATGTGAAAAGCATGCCAATTTTCTGTGCATGTGTGCCCAAAATACCAAGAGGAGAATGGAGGAGAAAGGATGTCAGCATAGCCATACCCCTTTGAGAGTGCTTTCTCACTTTCCCTCTCTCTCTGGTGAGCACACATGACTTACAGAATAAAAGGAAAAGAAAAGAAAAGAAAAGAAAAGAAAAGAAAAGAAAAGAAAAGAAAATCTCTGGTGAGCACACATGACTTACAGAATAAAAGAAAAAGAAAAAAGAAAAGAAAAGAAAAGAAAAAAGACAAGACAAGACAAGACAAGACAAAACTCCTATAGCAAACTGAAAAAGAAAAAAGAAAAAATGTTGGGGCCAGTAGGTGGTGCGGTGGTTAAGGCGCTAGACTCCCTCATGTCCGACTGTGGTTCAAGTCCCAGGCCTTGAAACTCATACCAGGTGCCGGGCCAGCATACCCAAAATCCTGAGGAGAAGGGATTGTGGCGTGACCAGCCTCCCTGGTGGGGGGATGGTTTCTTACTTTCTGTCTTCTCTGGCGAGTGCACATGCCTTATAGCAAAAATCTCTCTTACAAAAAAAAAAAAGCCTTAACTTTTGAGAAAAGTATATACATACACAAGGAAGCCCCAGGATGTGAACCAGGGACATTCCTATGTGGATCCAGATGTGTTACTGCTGTGCCACCATCTGGTCCCTTTCCAATTTTTTTTTGATAGATTTTTGCTATAGGGTGTGTGCACTTGCTGGAGAGACAGAGAGACTAGACTCCCATGTAATCAACTGTGGTTCGAGTCCCCAGCCCACTAAGGTTTGCATTCCAGACCTGGTGGCTTGAGCTCACATTGGGCACTTGTGCATGCATGTCCAAAATCCCAAGAGGAGAAGGGATTGCAATGCGGCCATCCCCCTGAGGGTGATTTCTCACTTTCTGTCTTTCTGTCTCTCTGGCCAGCACATGCACCCTATAGCAAAAATTCATCTTAAAAAAAAAGAAAGAAAGAAATGAGGACAGGACTAGTGGATGGCATAATGGTTACATTGCTGAACTCCCACACCGTCAACCGTGGTTTGAGACCCAGGCCTGGCGGCTTGAAACTCACACCAGGCACGTGTGCATGCATGCTCAAGATCCTGGGAGGAGAATGGAGGAGGAGGGATTGCGACATGGTCATGATCCCTGGGGGAGGGTGATTTTTTGCTTTCTGTCTCTGTCTCTTTGGCAAGCACATGCACCCTATAGCAAAAATCTCTAAAAAACAAAACAAAAAGAAAAGAAAAGAGAAGAGAAGAGAAGAAAAAGGAGGATACAGCCCATGGCCTGGTGGTTAAGACAACGAATTCCGTATGACTGACAGCATGGTTTGAGTCCCATACTCAACAACTTCATTAACGTCCTGGGCACATATGCATGCATGCCCAAAATCCTGAAAGGAGAGAGAAACAGAGAAGACAGGATTATAGCATGACCATTTCCCATGGCAGAGTCTTTCTCTCTTTCTCTTTTCTCCCTTCCACCACCTCCCTTCCCCACTCCCCAAAAGCACATACGCCTTCTGGCAGGGAAAAAAAAAAGTTATGCTCCATTTCTGTAAGGATAGAGTATCTACATAAAATATTCCCCATTAACTATTTTGCATTGATGATTTGTCTCTTCTCCCTCATCTATTTATTTATTCAACCATTTATTTGGTACTATGGACTATGGCTATTTATTTATTTATTTATTTTTGGAGAGATTTTCGCTATAGGACACGTGTGCTCGCCAGACAGAGAGACAGAGAGACAGAGAGAGAGAGAAAGTGAGAACATAAGCCGCCAGGTCTAGAACTCGAACTGCGGTCGGCCATGTGGGAGTCCAGCACCCTTTACCACCACGCCACCTGCCAGCCCCCCTCCAAATTGTATTAATTTACACTTTCATGAGAAGTTGGAGAAAGTTTCCACCCTTCCAGTCAACAGCACTCAATTTTTGCCAACCTAAAAGATATAAAATGGCTTTAAGCCTTTACACCCACGAATATGGTTTATCTTTTTATTTTTAAACTCATCTTTTTGACTGATAGTATCTTAAGGTTTTCTTTAAGAAATTATCTTTGAAAATTAATTTTTGTACCAACTTTGCCCATATACATGTATATACATATATATTTCAAAATATGATATAAACACACACACACATATTTACATGTAGTATGTGTGTCACATATACACTTTTCCTCACAAAACATTTTATTTTAGCCACAGATTTATCACCTTAGTTGCTCTTCATTACTTTCTGCATTCCATCCAGGATCATTTTACTCCTTATCTGAAAAATACCTTGTGGATTTTCCTATAAAAGGTGTCTGTTAGTAGTGAACTTCTCATTTTTGCCTGAGAATGTTTTTTATTGCACTTTTTTTGATAAGTAAAAGTGAACTGAGTTTGCCTTTAGTATTTGGTAGCACTATGCTACAGTAAATTTATGCTAAATTAAGTACTTTTTCCTTTCTTCCTGAATGTCTCATAATGATTATAATGACCCAGCCATACAGGATATACTTGAATATACATATTATAATTTCTGTTTTTCTATATAGCATGCCATCATTCATTACTAAGTATTAATGAAATATATTAAGATGCCATCTCATCAGTTCTTTCAATCTTTAGCTTACCCGTCTAAAAAATGAAATTTTATTTTATTTTTTTATTATGCAAAACATAAATACAAATATTTTAGGGGCCAGCAGGTGGTGTGGTGGTTAAAGGTGCTGGACTCCCACATGGCCGACCACAGTTTGAGTCTTAGACCTGGCAGCTTTCTCTCTCACTGGTCAAAATGGAAAAAAAAAAAAAAGTGATAATAATTCTAAAAAAAAAATACAGGGACAGGAAATAGATCAGTAGCTGCCTCTGTGGTGAGAATTAACTCATACAGAGTGAGCAATAGAAATATTTTGTATCTTTATTGGAGTGTGTGTTTATATATATATAATGGTGATCAAGTGAATAAACTTAAGATTTCTGCATTTTATTATATCTACATTACATCTCAATTATAATTCAAAAACAAAACAATAAAATGGCCCCTGTTTCTACATCAAGAATCAGACCTGAACTCTCTGGGAGAAAACCCAAAATCTTGACCACTAGAGCAGATGAAAGCCTCTGGTAATGGGAGACTTGGTCCTCCTAAAGCTTTAAAAATTGCCTTGTCCTGGGACCAGCAGTTGGAGTTAACGGCTATGTCGCTGGACTCCCATGCAGTTGATCGTGGTTCCAGTCCCGGACCCGGTGGTTTAAACTCACGCTGGGCGCATGTGTGTGCGTGCCCAGGATCCCGAGAGGAGAATGGAGGCGAAGGGATTGCGGTATGACCATCCCCCCTGGGGGGTGATTTCTCACTTTCTGTCTCTCTGTCTCTGTCTGTCTTTCTGGTGAGCGCACACACCTTATAGCAAAAATACCTCTCCAAAAAAAAAAGAAAAATTGTCTTGTCTCCTGATAGTAATCTTTCCTGAGGCTAGGGTGTGATGACCC